GGGCTCTGCGGGCCGCCTGGGCGCTGACCGGCCGCTTGCTTTGCAGAGGCTGCAGACACGCCCATCGTGGTCCAGCCCGCGTCCGCCACGGAGACTACCCAGCTGACGGCCGACTCGCACCCCAGCTACCACACCGACGGCTTTAACTAAGCGTGCCGCAGGGCCGCCCCCAGAACACTGACTGCAGGGCGGGGCTGGTGGGCCGCAGGGCGCAGCGCCCCATGAGTGCCCAGCCCCTCACTCGCGCCTGGAGCCCGTCTGCCCGCCGGCCCCCTGGCTCGTGACGTGCGTAGCATGCAGTATTTAAAGCAGTTCCGCTACGGTCTTCTTCCTCCAACTCTTTCCCTTTTTAATAGCATGTATGGGGTGATGTTCATGTGTGTCCCTCTCGTGGGTCCCGCTCCAGTCCTGCAGTGGCGCCACTTGCGTGCTGAGCACTGGAACCAGCCCGCAGTCGCCCTGGGCCCGTGGGAACCCCCCTCTCCGGCTCCCCCTTGGGGGCCGTTTGCACAGGACCCGCTTGCCCCCACGTACTGCACCTGTGGGCGGTCCCATGGGTGACATCGTCGTCGTGGCAACGTAGGAAGCGTCCCTCTCGATGTTGAAACCAAATTCTTCGCCCTGTGTTTGTGGCTGTAGCTTTGTGTCTCGGGACTCCGAGGGTCCTGCTCCTCCAGGCACCCTGCCCCTTGTGCTTTCCCACCACCACCCGCTGGTGGTCTGCTGCCCCCTGGGGCAGGGCCAGTGGGCGCGCAGGGCCGGTGGGCACATTCCCGAGCTGCCTGCGGTCCACTCCACATTCCTTCCTTTTGTGATTGGGGACCTCCTGGAACCACAGTGGTGGCACCAGCTCCCACCAGTGGGGCTTGCACTTTCTGCGAGTGGCTTCTCGGGCCACTCCCCCCCACCCCCAGGAAGCTGGGCAGGTCCAGGCCCCACCCCCACACTTTCTATGAACTGTCAGCAGTCGGACTTGGGACCTGGACTGGTGGGCGCAGCCCTGCACTCAGAGAGCGGAGGCTGGGGCCTGGGTTCTGGTGTGGCCCTGTAGCCCTCGGGGGACAAGAAAGGAGGATGTTTCCTGCCCTCCAGGGCCTGGAGAGGCTTGCGAGCCGAACAGAAAGTGGCCAAGAAAGTGAGGCGAGCCAGAGGCGGCCCGCAGAGTGACCCTGAGCCCTCCATGGAAGGAAGGTGGACACTGCTGGTGAACTGAGAGCCCCCCAGGAGGGTAGGCCTGCCTACACACTTTGCCCAGCTGGAGAAAAGCCAACAACAAACAGACGACCAAGAACAGCTGGCTTGCAGTGCGTGCTGTGCGAGGCAGTGGTGCTTCTCTGGAAGCAGCAGAGGAAGGGAGTCATGTGCCCCAATGACCAAGGGCCAAGCTCAGCTGTGCCCTTGAGCTGTGAGGTAGAAAGATGGTGGCCAGGGACCTGGCCTCTCCTCTTGGGCTGAGTTACACCTAGCCCCCACCCACCCCACCCGACCCTCCCCACTGGCAGCTCTGGCGGGAACCCAGCCCTTTTCTCGTGTGTCAAAGTGAGTCCCAGTCAGAGTCCCTTCCACGAGCCCTTGGTCCCCGCCTTTTACGGGAGTGGGCAGGCCATGCCGGCCCTGGTCTTTCTCTGTAGAATTTGTAAAAACTAAATAAATGATGATGACCAGAACTTGCTATTGTTGCCAAAGGCCGCTGCCATCTCGGGCCCCTGGACATGGGGGGTCTGGGGGGTGAGGACGCCTCACCTGCTGCTGCTGTGAGCCTGCCCCCAGAAAGTGCGCTCTGCCAGCTCAGGATGGTCTTTACTGCACCAAGGGAGTGTGCTGTGGCCCACGGCCAGGCTCAAGGTCCTACCCGAGGGCCCACGGCCAGGCTCAAGGTCCTACCCGAGGACCCCCACCCGCTGATGTGGTGTCAGGTGTGGCCAGTAGCGAGCAACAGCCAGGTGGTCACCAAGGAGATCTTAGGTCAGCCCCAGAGGTCTCCCAGAGTGAGTGTGGAGATGGGCCCTTGAGACAGGCCAGCAGCCAGTCAGGGCCTGACAGAAGCCAGCCCAGTAGAAGCCCAGGGCCCGTGTCCTGACACAAGCTGGCTGGGAGCAGCCTCCACTGCTGCCGCATCAGGGCTGCACGGCAGGGCCACCTCAAGGAGCACACAGCACATGTTTGCACTGAAGGGCCAGTGCCACTGTCATCCTGGTCAGCAATGTGCCAGGAAGCCTGTCCCTGCACAGCTCCTCTGATCCCCTGTGGGTAGGCCGGGTGCCCTCCCTGGTGGAGTGGGCCTTGCCCATCCCCAAGGGCTCCCTCCCGCTCCCAGCTCTTGTGTGGGCCCTGTGGAAGTAAGGCCCTGTGGAAGACTGGGGAGGCCTGGAAGGACTGTGTGCCTCTCCCCAGGGAGGTAGCTCCTCCAGGGGCTGTGAGGCTGGAGGAAAGGTGCTCTTTCAAACCTGGTGAAATAAACATGCTGTTGTCAGAACAGAAACTGTCTTTGGACAGCTGTGCAAAGCACTGGCTCCTGACTCTTGAGGCCCCAGGAGGTCGTGGTGGAGCTGGGCTGGGTGGGGGGACGGCGCGGGGGAGGGGGACCCACAGGCCCATTGGCCTAGTCTGTGTGTCTGCATGTCCGCCCTGCAAACAGGCCTCCATGTGGCCAGGGTGGGTTAGTGCAGGCAGCCTCCATTTTCTGCCTGACCCCGTGAGCACCAGCACCCTGGTCTGGCCACCATCTAAGTCCCCACCGCAGACTTCCACACCCTCGTCCCTCACTGCAAGGAGACCCTGTGTTGGCCACTGCCTTGAGTACCACTCTTCCGACCTGGCTGGGTCACCAGCTCCTTCATGGTGCTTCCCACCACCCCTCAGCTGCCCTACCTGTCCTGGAAGGACAAGGTGAGCTGTGTGGGACACCACATCCGTGCTTCTCACATACAGCCCACAACAGGCTCCTGTGCCCTGGTGGCCCTCCTGCTACTAGTGATGGGGCTAGTGGCTGAGGTCTTGCCCCTAAGAGCCTGGGAGGCCGTCTGCTGCAGCCCCACCCCATGTCAGCACAGCCTGCCATCACCCACTGCAGGTGGTACCCTCTATCACAGCCCCTTCACGGCTGGAAGGTGGGCAGGAAGCCTGTCTCCCTTCTCTTCATAGTGTGTTCCTGAGGGTGACCCTGCCAGGGCCCTAGTTAGGCAGGACCTGGTTCCACCCCTATGACCTGGCACAGAGATGTCCCTCAGCAGAGCCCTGAGCTTCCAGCAGGGGTAGGAGTGCCATGCCTTCAAGCTCCTACACTGTGGGCTCCCTTGGGACAGACAGAAAGGATGAGAGCTGAGAAGTAATTAAATTGAACCAGAAAACCCAGAGTTTATTTCGACCCTCTGTGGCAGTTGAACTGCCCCTGTGGGTTTCCACGGCTGGAAACCTTCACAGAGGCAGGCAGCCTCACCCTCCTGCAGAGCAACTAGTGAGTTTGAACTAACAATGTGTAACCAACTAGGCCGGCAGGGCACCAATTAAACTTGAAGATAATTTGAAATAATACTTTGAAAACCTTAAAGTCACATAAAAACACCAAGAACCCCCGACTCCGAATCTTATAAAGACTTTCCACACAAGATACCCTGCAGGTAGGTGTACCTCAACCTGGTGACCGCTGCCCTGAATGCGCACCAACACGCACTCCCCCACCTGTCTGCGCAGTGCCAGCCCTTCCGCTGTTTGGTCTCCTGCCCCCATGGCTCCGCCGTGTTGCGCGGAGTCGGTTCGGCCGCAGCCACACTTCACTTCGCGGGTCAGCCCAGGTCCGCCAGTCGGTGAAGCTGACCTGGGCTTTACTGTGTGGGACTCGCGCCGGCCCCGCCCTCTGACCCGGCCTGCCCCTGTGCTTGCTGTCCGGCTCCGCCTCTCCTGTCTCGCCACGCCCTTTGCGTCCGAGCCCCGCTCCTCCCGCTCCTGCACTTCCTGCTGGGCTTCGCTCGCGACCCCTCCCCTGCGTCTCCCCCACGCCCCCCGCTTCCCGACTCTGCTCTTGACCTCGCTGCTGCGTCCTAGCCCTGCTCACAGCTGCCCTCTGCTCCTTGCCCTCCAGCCTCGTCCTTGCTCCAGCTTCCCGTGCCCCGGCTCCTTGGCAACGGCCCCGGGGGTGAGCTCGCACGGGCAGCATAGCGCTCCCTCGAAGCGGTCACGGCTTCTGGGATCCTAGACAGGCCCCGCACCCCCGACACTCGTTTCCTCCTGTGCAAACGAAGCCCTCCCCCAGCCTTATCGCTATCGGGCGATTTTTCTTATCGTTTGATCTTAATTTTCCTAATCGCGTTTATTATTTTCAGTATTTTATAATATGGGGTTCTTGTAGAAATAGGAAATGACACGCAGCCTTAATTAAGTCTGCGACAGTGCCGAAGGACGTCTGCATCTCAGGGCACCACCCTGAGGACACCACCGCGTCACCGCCGTGGGTCTGGGGGCACCGCCCAGCCACCACATCACCCCTTTGTCTGGGGGCCGGAGGGTCGTGGGCCCACGGCTGAATGGAACTTCAGTTAGGTTTGCTCAGGGTCCAGTCCTGGGGTTACCTGGTGCCGGGTCGTGCTAACCTGCCGCCCCCGCCCCAAGGGGCCCCACAACCAGCCCCGAGACCCTCCGTCGGCCCCCACGCGAAGAGCCCAAGGAGAAACCTTCACTGTCCACCGTGGGAGGGGTGGCGAGGGACTAGAGGTGGACGGGCCACGGGAGGGCGGGGGCGGTTTATTCTACGAGGGACTTGACCTCTGCGAGGGACGCGATCAGGCAGGGGTGTGGCCTTCCAGAGGAGGGGCCTTGCAGAACCCCGCCTCTTGGCCCAGCGGCGGTTTGGCGCACAGCTATTCTGGTGGCAACCGCTGGGTTCCCTGCGCAGAGCTGACGCGGAGCGCTCTCAGTGCTGGGCTCGGTGTGCGGCAGGCCGCGTCCCTGATCCCTGTCCCTGGAGCGCAGGAGGAGGCCGACCGGACAGGGAATAGGGAC